TATCTTCGTTCAACCCGCAGGAGATAAGTGTTGGTTATCTAGAGGTTAAGAACATTGACTATAGTGAAGGGATGATTTTGATAGATAGATTTATCTTCGTTCGCCCCGCAGGAGATAATTGTTGTTTATCTAGAGGTTAAGTATATTGATTATAGTGAAGGGACGATTTTAATAGATAGATTTATCTTCGTTCGCCCCGCAGGAGATAAGTGTTGTTTATCTAGAGGTTAAGTATATTGATTATAATGAAGGGACGATTCTGATAGATAGATTTATCTTCGTTCGCCCCGCAGGAGATAATTGTTGTTTATCTAGAGGTTAAGTATATTGATTATAATGAAGGGACGATTTTAATAGATAGATTTATCTTCGTTCGCCCCGCAGGAGAAAAGTGTTGTTTATCTAGAGGTTAAGTATATTGGTTATAATGAAGGGACGATTCTGATAGACAGATTTATCTTCGTTCGCCCCGCAGGAGATAAGTGTTGTTTATCTAGAGGTTAAGTATATTGATTTCAGTGAAGGGATGATTTTGATAGATAGATTTATCTTCGTTCGCCCCGCAAGAGATAAGTGTTGTTTATCTAGAGGTTAAGTACATTGACTGTAGTGAAGGGTTGATTTTGGGTGTCATAAGTATAATATTTTAATGCACGAGATGCGTGAAATAGGCGTGATGTGAGGTGAAGGAGGCAAAGTTGATGAGTAGCCGAGAAGAAATAGTACTACATCGACAAACTATCAACAAACGGGCCTTTTCATGGCCTGGAAGGGATCTGTAAATTCAAATGCTGTGGCTGAGATCTATAAATACTATGCTTAGACGTGAAGATTTTGCTGACAGACTTACGCTGACTTAATGAAGAAATGCTAATATCGTACATGAAGATTTTGCTGACAGACTTACGCTGATTTAATGAAGAAATGCTAATATCGTACATGCAGATTTTGCTGACAGACTTACGCTGACTTAATGAAGAAATGCTAATATCGTACATGAAGATTTTGTTGACAGACTGACGCTGACTTAATGAAGAAATGCTAATATCGTACATGCAGATTTTGCTGACAGACTGACGCTGACTTAATGAAGAAATGCTAATATCGTACGTGAAGATTTTGCTGACAGACTTACGCTGACTTAATGAAGAAATGCTAATATCGTACGTGAAGATTTTGCTGAAAGACTGACGCTGACTTAATGAAGAAATGCTAATAGTTGAATAGGTTGACTACAAACTTCGACAAGTAGATGAAGCTCTTTAAACCAATCCAACGTTAATCATTGTTTTATACATAGGTCATCTATAATCATTTGTTCATTAATAATTTGCTTTTATCCACTGTTATGATTGGTTTAATTCATAAGGTGCTAAACCTGTCACTAAGGTAACTAAATAGGTTATAAAGTTCTAAGTATATGCGTTTGCTAAACATTCACCTCATTTAAATAAAGACAAACATAAAAAGTATATATATTGCCAAAATAACTTAATTTATTGGTAAGAGACTATTCGGGCTACCGCCCTTTTTCAGACCTAAGTATAGCCTGTATTTAGATTTGGAGAAGGGCGGTAGCCTGAAACATCACCTATCAATAAATTATTTTAGCAACACATAAACCGTTCATGTTTTTTTATGCATTTTGGGTGTCGAAGCTGTTATTTTCTACGCATTTTCTAAATAAAAACAAATAACAACCAGAAAGTCAACATTTGCAAACATATTCAATATGTCTACTCACGTCCACATTAATCGCTAAGATCCTCAGAATACATTGGATATCAAGTGAGGATGGTTTTAAGGCAGGGAAAGGGATCATAAAAACTATAACATATATACTTCCGGGTGGATAGACACTTGACACAGTAACACCTTGATACATCTTTATGAGAAAGATGTATTGGAGCGTATTAAACTAACTAACGATATGTAGAACAGCCAGTTTTTGCCAAAAATAGATTTCTTCACAATTTCAAAACTTTACAGATAATTGTTATGGAAATATGATTCTATATGGTATATACAACTTCGTGCATTGTGTGAATCAAAACACTATTAATAACAGCCTTTTGTAAGGTTTACACATGCAGACAATGTCTCTAGGTTCAGAGTCCCTTATTACATATATTGCGAATTTAGTTTACTGTTGATCCCTATTAAATCGCAAGAAAAAATGAAATCCTAACTCTGTCTTTTACAGTCTGTAGGAGCTGTCACAAGGTAAAGTTTCATCTAGCTTGGAACGGAAAGCCTAAAGCATTAACTCTGCAAAATGTTTTGACACTTGTAAAATCGCTAAAAAGACACAAATCTCATATTTGTCTGATTTAGTATGTGTGAGCTGTCGTAAGGTATCTTTGTGCAAATTCTCTTCTGGACTGGTTGCAATACAGAGAAATACCAGGTCAAGAGCCCTAAGTGTACGATGTTGTTTAACTTGTGATCCCTGTAAAATAAAAAAAGAGGCAAATCCCAAATTTTTCTACTTTAGTCTATGAGAGTTGTTGCAAGGTATCTTTGTGCTAAGTCTTATTTGGATTCATGGAAGTGGAATGAATCTGGTGGCCAAAATGTGTACTTTTGTAATGTTTGGCCTTTTATCCCCTAAAATTGAAACTGGGATCTAAATAAAAGAAAATGAGAAAGGAATCTAAGCGTTTTGGATTAAGTTATGTGCCTTTAAAGGTTCAAAACGATCAGCTCAAAAATAAAAGAGGAGCACATAAGCTTAGCTGTTGGAAAGATGAAGAATGAAACACAAGAAATACAATACTTATCCCTTACTATGGGGGAAACGTAAAAATATAAAGATAAAAATAGAACATTTCCCTTATGCTTCTAAAATATTTCAACTTTGCTATACGTTTGGTTGTCGTACAATAATTTAATAACACCTAAGTTGCAAAGTCGTTAGAAAGAGCACTTATGAGCTGGCGTCATAGACTGTAACGATGATTATATATGTTAGTTTGCTTTAGCGCAAAGCTACGCAATAAACTACCTATATTTTGTCCACCACAAGGAATCTAACGCTACATTTTTAGCACTGTAAGTTTGTAAACTCACCGTTGACCCACTGGTGACTGGTAAAGAGGTGGTGAGACATAAGAATTTCTTTCATATAACGTACTCATCCCTCTGTATCTATTCCAATTAATTTTGTATATGTTTCATTAATAACCTTTACTTTTCAATGTATGTATTGGAAGATAAAACTTAAAGACAAACATGTAATTTACAATATATATATATATATTTGAAGTTGAGATTTGATATGATAAGTTTGATTATCATGTTGATTTATGAAAACCTGTATTTGCTCATCATTCGTTGTCTTGTTAATAGCGTTATGTGTAATGAAACTAGAATCCTCAATAACCGCGGCTGTAATTAGATCTCAAATCGATTAAGAGATGGAGCTATGAGCTAAAAGTTGTACTTGAAAAAAAAACAACAACAACAAGAACTCAGAGCCATTCTATGAATCGCTATGCCGCGGCTAAAAAGTAAACATATTCAATTCATCTATATGAGCTTCTAACTCCAGATAGAAAATAGTATCGTATTTTCCTTGAGAGTAAATGGAATGCTTGATTTATCGAACTTAAAAAATATTAATAAAAACATTTAAATTACGCCGTAACCACAATGATTGCAGTAAATCATATTATTATTATTTACTATTATTGTAATTGAGTCAGAAAATAGAAATTAGTACTTTTAATATTCGAAAATATATTTTTTTGAATTATAACAAATAATTAAAAACAACGTTTTATATTTACACAATAAAAACTTTATTGAAGCCGTAGTGCATATAAATATATTGTTTGTTTCAATCACCGCTATTTAAGGACTGATGAGCTGCCAAAACTTCAAGAGTAATATTATAGATTATAACTCATGTAAATTATCTCAAAACTTGTAGTAAACAAGAGATTTTACTTAAAAACAAACATGTAATTAATATATATATGTATATGTTGCATCAATATGTTGAGGTAATATTTGCTACCATATGCTATACACATAATATTTCAAAACAACTCATTATCAAATTTAGATAAATAATTCTGTAAAACAATAAAAGTTTCTTCTCCAGCTTAAAACAGACGAAATATCTATACTTAGTAAAACTATAATATCCATATAAAGCTAATGATGATCTATATTTAAATAACTGGAATTTACATCTCAAGGAGAAGGAATGATGAGTGTTAATACCTTTAGGGTGGTTTGTTTTAATGAAAATGGTTCCAAGATTAATTCGAAGGTTCTGTTGCTTTAATGTGTTTCCAAAACTATTTACTGAACGTTTTGGATGATTGCTCCAACTAAAAATGAATTATACTTGAGCCTTTATGTCCCACATTCATTTATTAACATGATAAACCATAAAATAATTTATGTATCACCTTTTATATTCTCTAAATTACCCCTTTTACTCTACACATTTTTATTGTCACTGCAATATCCGAAGAATAGTTTTTTTGTATGTTGAATTTCTCCAAAAGCTACTTGAGGTCTTTCCGCCTTTAATTTTAAAGTGATAAACCAGTTGGAAGGCAGGTAGTCATTGGTAACACTTGGACTGCTCTTTATAAACGAATAGTGGGGTTGACCGTCACATCATAACTTCCACAGAGTCGAAAGGGCAAGCATATTCAGCGATGGATTTGTAGAGCGAATTATTTGATACGAGTTGAAATAAGTTAATTTAAATATACAACTAATGTAAGTCTAACACATCACATAAAATACTTTTATTCAAAAATACACGCAGATAGGAATAAGCAATATTAATACACACATTTCTGATTAATTTGATATATGCGAAATACGTCATACGTTTTCATTTATCTGGAAATGATATTTTCTATACTTTTTCGTTGTTTTTGTGTGGAATTTAATAAACCGCTGGCATTGAAAAAAAGATACCAAATTAAAACACATGGTAGACTATCATACTGATGCTATTAAATATTTTGATGCATTACCTGCTATAATAAGTACAAAGGACAAAACTTCTGGGCTCTCTCCATCATTATAAACAGAAATGTACCACAATCCTTGGTCGAGAAAATGGACAAAATCCGTGTTGTGAAATTCCTAAATAAAATATAACATGTCTATGAGGCAGTCCAAGTTAAACATACTATAAAAACGTTTCAGTACAAACAATAAGACATTTTTCAATATATATTTAAAATGTTAAACACTGTAAGAAACGCTTTAGAGCACAAATTATACTAACGTTCCGTAGTAATGACCTAATTACCATATTTCGATACATATTCATAATACATTAATACAAGCAGAGACTGTTTTATAAGTAACCTACAAAGGGGCTAGTACTGCAGAAGGAGACTGTCATCAAGAATACATGCTTAAACTCGACATCAGTGACTTTTATGATTTACTGACTTTCACTTTGAGAGCTTATTACACGTATTTGTTAAACAAAAAACGATATTTCGGCTGAATGTTTTACACTTTAATGAGTGAATATAATAGCCCATTTTATAGGTAGTTTATCACATATAAACTTCACAATATATTTAAATCTGTGATATAGTCGCTACATGTAACTATTATTATTGTTGTTCGTAGTTCTTCTACTCATTAAGTCTTACATGCAGTTTCACAAATATTTATATTTTTGGGCGTAAAATGCCTACTATCTTACGTGATTCAAAAATCTATAAGTACTAACTAACAATAAAAAATTTTAATAATCTTCGAAGCTTTGCCAGTGTCGTGACACACTAAGCATTGTTTCAAAAATTTTCAAGAAATTAGGTTCTTTAGGGTTAGAAACCATAGTAACAAAGTAACATTTGTGATGTAGTGTTTTATGTGACTGTAGTTGTATAGGTCGTTGAAAAAAGTTGAAAGTTTGGTTTATAAAATTATTACTACTTTAAAGAGAATTGGCATGTACCAAAAGTTACCCTACACACCGTATGTGATTAAATCTCATAAGTTACCCTATACAACGTATGTGATTACATCTCATTAAAGTTCCTTATACTTTTTAATACGTAAAAACATAAACACAAAAATGAATTGGTCTTTGTGATTGAGATTCCAGTTTGTGCAGCCCTTCTGTCCCACATAGTGGATAATACTTTCGAGTACCATTGTTCTTAGACATTATACCGTTATAACCGAAAATAACTTTTCTCATTTCAGAAATACTTTTGGTATAAGTTATTTCGACTATGCTCTCTAAAGCGACCAGAGTGACATACGGCTGACAAATAACTCTTCATTATACGGCTGAAAAATAACTCTTCATTATGCTGCTGACAAATAACTCTTCAATATACGGCTGAAAAATAACTCTTCATTATGCAGCTGACAAATAACTCTCAATATACGGCTGACAAATAACTCTTCAATATACGGCTGAAAAATAACTCTTCAATATACGGCTGACAAACAACTCTTCAAGAGACGGCTGACAATTAACTCTTCAATATACGGCTGACAAACAACTCTTCAAGAGACGGCTGACAACTCTTCAATATGCTGCTGACAAATAGCTCTTCTTTGTACTGCTTACAAATAACCCTTCAACATACGGCTGACAAATAACCCTTCAATATACGGCTGACAAATGACTCTTCAATATACGGCCGACAAACAACTCTTCAAGAGACGGATGACAAATAACTCTTCAATATGCTGCTAACAAATAACTCTTCTATGTGCTGCTTACAAATAACCATTCAATATACGGCTGACAAATAACCCTTCAATATGCTGCTGACAAATAGCTCTTCTATGTACTGCTTACAAATAATCCTTCAATATACGGCTGACAATAACTCTCCAATATGCTGCTGGCAAATAACTCTTAAGTATGCTGCTGACAAATAACTCTGCAATATACGGCTGACAAATAACTCTTCAATATGCTGCTGACAAATAACTCTGCAATATACGGCTAACAAATAATTCTTCAATGCAGACAAGATATTTCAACAGCAAAGAATGTTAATACACCATATGTCGTGTCAATTCACGTATTATGTAATAATGAAAACTGAAAGGAATAATTTTGTTTTGACCTATCTACGCTTAGAAACATGGTATAATATATTGTTTAATTGTATATATTTCAGCGCCATCTTTCAGTTTTACATATTCTGTATTTTTTTTTCTTTTCGCGGTATTTTGAAATATTATTTTATCAAACTAAGACACCTTAAAATACTTTATATATTATTTGTTGTATTAATGTTAAAAACTTATAAAATATTGTTTTTGTTTAAAATTCTATATTATCTACTCTTTAAAACCAAATGACAATCGTGTCATATAATGTTATTTATGATCTATTAATACATCACATAATTGTTCTAACAAAACAAATACAGGAATAATTAGTATAGGTTTAATTTCACTATATCTAAGATGGTTAACTGTATAGAAAATGTTATGATTTGCTGTTATTTTTACTAATATACTGGGTTTCCTCCGGTTTTTTGACACGAATATTTGGCAAAACATCTCACTTCAAATGGCTTTTACATTGAAATAACTACTTGTTAATCAGAATTCTGTCATACTACTTAACATGAAAAATATTATTTCATAATATTTTAATTATCTTTGAAACACGATAAAAATACTATTGGTATTTCATTGATTCTATGTTAAGTATATATACACACACACATATATATAGATGTGTTTATGTACTAAGTATATATATATGTACATGTATTCTTAATATATTATCAAATGTATATTTATATCAAATTCTAAAAGTTATTTTAATCTCTTGTTTTCAAACCAAAAAGTAAACAAGTACTGATGTATATCGTGTTCTAAAACCTTAAAACAAAAAAACTGTTTTCAAAGCGTGGATAAACAGACTATAAAAATATTTTTTTGTTCTTACTTTAAGTGCCGTATCATCACTACTGCTTATGGGGCTGAGAATTTCGACAAAGTCATATCTTGTGTGGAAAGGGATACTATTTCTTCTTCCGTAGACCCCTATGCTTGCTCCCAGAGGAATGGAGAAGCTAAATTTGACCAAATCAGCTTCTCGTTGATGAAACTGAATATTCCAGTGTCCAAACGACTGTATACTTCTTGTGTTTCTTGTTCCAAGTCTTATTTCTGAAAATACGTCACTCTCGGGTGGCAGTATTTTAGCTGGTAACGAGGGTAGACCTATGGTTGCAGTAGAAACTTTAATCATTAATTGTAATAATTGTAAAACATGCCTATTATGTAATCTGTACTTTCAATAAATATAAATTTAAGATGTTAAAAATGAGCAATAAATCTGAATTTTTATTGATATAATTTTTGGAAATTCTTATTTATTAAATGTTATTCAATTTTTATACTCTATGGCTAGATATATCACATTATTTTATTGTTAGGATAACAATTTAAGAATTTTATAACTCAGAATTAACTTATTTTATCAAAAATATCCACTAATAAGGAATGCATAAGTTTAAAGTAGAAACGCATATATGCAAAAAACTTTGAAACAAATCTTATTGTTACTAACGTAACATAAGGTTCAAAATCATTAGCTTACTTTGGCTCTGTTATCTTATTATTAATCATTCATAGTATTAGCTGCCGTGCAAGTTATCAGTAATGCTACCTCACTGCGGATATACATTTTAATAATTTTCGATATTTTCTTTAAATCCACATTGAAATGATGCTGCAATATACACATTTTATTGAACGGTATTCATGAGCGAATAGTCAAACTATATTTCGGTCAGATCAAGAGAAAGCAGCTAAGTTAGATCAGCTACACTGGCAAGCAGACAAACAGGATACGATACACTGGATTTACTGGACATTTAATAGTGTGCCTCTATATCGTAGTTGTGGTACCCGTTTATAATTCTGTCTCTTGGATTTATCAATGTTTCAGGAATTTCGTCGTTTTTCTACGTTCATGTCTGAGCTCGCTAGGAACGTTGTTGTATTCATAATTGCAGATGCATTTTAAGTAGAACATTTTATCACTATTATGTTAATTTCTACATAATAATTAATTCCTAGAGCTAATACGAAAATAGGTATTTCCAATGGAAGGATTTCTTAAAAAAATATTAATATTTTTAGACTTCACTTTTGTTACTGGGAAGTTTAAATATTCTATAGATGTAAACATTCAGAAAATGTACTTCATCCCACGAAAAATTTACAGTGACTTAGATAAAAGATACGAATGGTGCAGTGATTGAATTTAAGAAACAGTTGTATTATTCCACAATGAATCAGAGGTATTTGTTCTGAGTTGTTCTTAGGGATTCTGGAACTATTTGAATATCTTTGATTATAGCAGCTACAGCCCATGGCTTACAACACCGATACTACTATTTTACTGTTTTGTGTTAGTGTAGTTATCGACTATATCAGTATTAGTCGTGGAAGTATTAATATATCATTCCGACCTGTGCTAATATGTGGTATTCTAGGGAAGACTTTCCTTCACGTAAGTTGCAGAACTGCTTCGTTACAAAAAGTGTATTGAAATAATGAATTTGCCTTAATTAAATCTTACGAATATAACAAACACCTTCGTCCAATCTCATGAAATACTTGGCTCCTCTATCACAGAATTAAGTAATACTGGAATAAAGAAAGTGTTCCTGAAGTAACAGCCTTCGCACACTTTGTGATAGCTCAATTAGATATAAAACAAGGTTTGGCAAGAAACATCTGTAGGAAAGAGTATGAAATGTATCGGTAATAGAAGTAAGCATCTAACAAGTCTATAGATTAGACACCAAAAAAAAACGTCTAATTCTTTAAACACTTTCTTGTATGGTTATACAGTCCTATTTGGGACAAGCACACTCTGTTGCAGTTTGAGTAGGCAAACGTTGTTGTTGGATATGAAGGCTGTTGTGCTGAATTCTTTCTGATGATCATTTTGCTTCTGCTTATTGAGATCTTTTCACTTTTATTCACGCCTTTCTTCACACAGCTTTTCCAAGCCCTGCAATTTTCTACTACTTCTTTTCAGTTCTCAACAGAAATTTCAAAAGTTTACATATCCCTTTTGCAAGCGTCCTTGTAGCGTATTTGGGAACGTGCAACTGATATTTTACCTGTCGCTAGCTCCCCATGCAGGTGATCCTTGGGATTATTCCTTCTTTTATGCGCCTTGTGTGTCCTAGCCATTTCATTCTTCTTTGACTCAATAGTGAGAAGATGTTTTGCATATTGGCGCTCTCAAGCACTTTGCTGTTGGTGGTTTTGTCCCGTCACGTAATGTCATTATGTTAAAATCAGGATATGTCGATCGGGGAATGGGAAATGCATCACGCTGCAACATCAAAATATTGACTTCGTTATGAAGTTTGTTTGAGCATTTACTAAATTTTGGACAAAAAATGATTGGTGATCAAATGAATCAGATTATAATTTTATAAGTGTAAAACAACCTAACTTGTTGCTTTCTCTATATCTTTTGTACTTTTATACATATCCTTTAAAATAGACAGTCAACCGATGGGACAGTGGTAAATCTACAGATTTACACCTCTAAAATCAGGGGTTCGATTCCCCTCCGCGGACACAGCAGATAACCTGATGTGGCTTTGCTATAAAAAAAAACACACAAACAAAACAGAAAAGAAAATTTAATAGTTTACTCTGTGACCATATGTAACCTAAGAACTAGAATAATGCTACAATTTACCTTTCGAGCTTGATACGTACGTTTTAACCCTGGTTCTGGTAAGACTGACTGCATATCCTTCACCATTACCGAACATGACTGTCTATTAGAGTGTTTCACATTTATCACTGTAAAATAGTAAACACGTCGTTCTCGTTATTTTGGTTTGAACTTGAATAATAAAATCATTCAACATTACGCACTCTGTTTGAAGCTACTAATCCATCTTTGGAAACACAGTAAGTAAATACATATTCCATTACAATAAATGTTGATATTCTGTATTCATAAGTAGAAACTAAGCTGCAGAGCCAAAAGTCAGTTCTTCAAAATGTGAAAATTTAAAATTTAAAACAATGATCTATATGACGATATTGAATACATTCTAGAAATCTAAAGTCCATTACCTGAGTAAAATCATTAATACAATGTTCATGTCATTAATACAGTGTTCAAATAATTAATACATTGTGTTCAAAGCATTAATACATTGTGTTCAAAGCATTAATACAGTGTTCAAATAATTAATACATTGTGTTCAAAGCATTAATACATTGTGTTCAAAGCATTAATACAGTGTTCAACTCATTAATACACTGTTCAAATAATAAATACAGTGTTCAAATAATTAACACACTGTTCAAATCATTAATACAGTGTTCAAATAACTAATACATTGTGTTCAGATCATTAATGCAGTGTTCAAAGCATTAATACACTGTTCAAATAATGAATAGAGTGTTCAAATCATTAACACAATGTTCAAAGCAATAATACAGTATTCAAATCATTAACACAGTGTTCAAAGCAATAATACAGTATTCAAATCATTAACACAGTGTTCAAGGCATTAATACAGTGTTTAAATCATTAGTACAGCGTTCAAATCATTAATACAGTGTTCAAATCATTAACACAGTGTTCAAAGCATTAATACAGTATTCAAATCATTATTACAGTGTTCTTTTCCTTTAAAGTCCAAAATTGAAAACCTTTTTGGGGATTTCTTTCATTTAAGGTTTTGGGTAGCAAAGTTTATAAAATACATTTAACTACTTGCATTTTGTTTCAAGAATGCAATGTGATACTAACATTTATGTTATCTGTTAGGATATTATGTTGAACAAACCATTTGCATGTATGTAGTTCAATGTTTTTTAATACACGTGGTATGAGTGCGGGAATTTCATTAGTTATCTCATCTAAGTAATTAAGGAACAATAACAACCATAAAAGCTTTAGTATGCAATCTTTTGCGAATGAGATTTTCGTTTGCAAAAGTTTTAATTGACTTATATTACTGGAACATATGACGTTGTACGTCCTTTTACACTGTTTACTTTTCTCTTGTGTAAAACAAAAAGGGCAAAAAAAGACAAAAACAGAAGGTAACAAGGTATAAAAACTTTCAGGGATTGTTAAAAAGTAGCCCGTATTCATAACTGAAGTCTTGTATCTTTGAAACAAAAAAAAAAAAGAGAGAAGACGAAACTTTTACCTAGAGCAAATCTTAAACAAAAAACTTGTACAGTTATCTCACGCTACTTCTGGTATATTATTACTTAGTATGTTAACAACTAGACACTTTGTGACGATCTCGTCTCAATTGTTGTCATGGTTAGTAAACCGATACAATCACCTAGGTCTAATTATTAATTAATTAGTAACTTATATCTATATGTAGTCTGATTTACCCTACATTTTAGCTGCTAATATGTTATCGTCTTTAATTAAGAAGGACCATCTCTGTGTGAGTAGTAGCCGTGATTCGAGCCCGGGTCTACCTGATGGAAGTCTGATACATTATCAACTGGATTAGGGACTCCTTCTTTTAGAAAATCCAGTTTGATTGTTTTCAAGCTTTCGCTGAGCTCTACGCTAGATTGACTGAATGCGTTATTAGTTAAGTGGATATAAAAGGCTTTTAGACGGCAGCAGATTATCAGTCAAAACGTAGGGTAAAACCAGTTTGTAATTAATATTTATTTATTTAGAAAGTGGTTAACTGATAATTAGGCTTAGGTGATGACACAGACCATGACTATAATGTTAACAAGTAGTTTCATAACTGGCTGCATCATATAAAATAAAAACGTTTCTGCAAACAATTATAATAAATCACAAAACTGCTCACCTACAAAATATGATAAGGCTATAAGAAGAACAACTGAAATAAACATAAAGGTTAGAGCTGCACATTTCCAGCTGCAACGAGATGACAGTGTTTTCCTCAAATGTAATCGAGAATGAACAAAATGGTGGCTTGCCAAAGGACGTTCTGTGTTGTTACGGACGGGAACAACAGGCACAGGTGGTCTAAAACAAAACAAAAATATATCCTAAAACAACAGATTTATTTATACCCGTCACTCTTCTTTTTTTTAACGTGTTTCACCAAAACAATCATAATTTCTTTACAGTTTCATATATCTTAAATAATGCGTACATCTTGCTCTCGGTATGAGTTACACGCGTATTTTCACACACTAATACGCTCTAGAGAACAAAAAAAGACGCGAAAAACTTCCACAACAAAGAATACAGCACCGTACTGCAATTTTCCGATTTCCCACATCTCTTCACTCATGTTCTAAACAAAAATTTTTTATTTATGTAATATATATTTTAAATTTAAAAAACAAACTGCATCTAGCACAACAGGCTGAAAAAAAGTATTGTAACTAAAAATATTTTGGGTAAGAAAAATATTTAAGTGCATTTCAATCTTAAAGGCGGTGGTATTTTGGTGGTATGATTAGTTGGATAAACGGATTGTATGACAGCTTACGTATCATCGAGCTTCAGCTGTCATTTCGTTCGGCGTAACTAGTAATAAAGTGAACGTTCGTTCATTAAATTTCTGTTACAAACATTGCGCCTCATGTAATGACGCTAGAGCATAGGATTAAGCAATGGAATTATTTTTCTTTTCAGATAAAACTTTAATCACGCCAACTCCAGAACGTTTTCCTTTTTTTTGTGATATTACATCTTCATCAAGGTTTTGTATTTTTTTAATATATCTCAAAGCTCAACTGATATTCTTAGTACGAAAACAAGTTATGTATCTTCAGAAAATGTTGCCTACACAGAAAAGATAAAAACATATTTAATACGAATAGTCAGTTTTTCTCTGAAAAATATAGATATAACACAGAATTCTTGTATTAATGTTAGATATAACACAGACTTCTTGTATTAATGTTAGATATAACACAGACTTCTTGTATTGATGTTAGATATAACACAAACTGCTTGTATTAATGTTAGATATGACACAGACTTCTTGTATTAATGTTAGATATAACACAGACTTCTTGTATTAACGTTGGATATAACACAGACTTCTTGTATTAATGTTAGATATAACACAGACTGCTTGTATTAACGTTAGATATAACACAGACTTCTTGTATTAATGTTAGATATAACACAGACTTCTTGTATTAATGTTAGATATAACACAGACTTCTTGTATTGATGTTAGATATAACACAAACTGCTTATATTAATGTTAGATATAACACAGACTTTTTGTATTAATGTTAGATATAACACAGACTTCTTGTATTAATGTTAGATATAACACAGACTTCTTGTATTAATGTTAGATATAACACAGACTTCTTGTATTAATGTTAGATATAACACAGACTTCTTGTATTGATGTTAGATATAACACAGACTTCTTGTATTAACGTTGGATATAACACAGACTTCTTGTATTAATGTTAGATATAACACAGACTGCTTGTATTAATGTTAGATATAACACAGACTTCTTGTATTAATGTTAGATATAACACAGACTGCTTGTATTAATGTTAGATATAACACAGACTTCTTGTATTAATGTAAAATGTAATACATTTCTCGTGTACCTTAGATCTTTCTTGTGAAAGCTACTTTCATTTTAGAAATGCGGCTAGTCAAAATCGTTGGTATATATTAGATATATTATTTTATCTAGTGTTATGAACTTTTATTTTTAGGGTACGATTTAGTTTCTAAATAAGTTGTGCACATTATGTACGACGGGTTATATCCATCGACTCTTGTCACTAATGTACGTGTGATATCCATCGATTCCTGTCACTAACGTGCGGGTATTGTACAGCGACTCCTGTCACTAACGTGCGGGTAATATCCACTAACTCCTATTACTAACGTACGGGTAATGTACACCGACTGCTCTCACTAGCGTACGGGTAATATCCGTCTACTCCTATCACTAAAGTACGGGTAATATCCATCGACTCCTCTCACTAATGTACGGGTAATGTCCATCGACTCCTGTCATTTACGTATGGGTAATATCCATAAAGTCCTGTCATTAAAGTACAGGTAATATCCACCGACTTCTGTCATTAATTTACAGGTTCAAACCTACAACATCACAGGCAATTGTTCAAGAAATAGAGAGAGCATCATATGACACCAAATTTATCAGCCGAAATGTATGGCTAATAGATATATATATTCATAATAAATAAAATAGGACTAAATTATTTTAATCCAAGTATAATATTTATGCTTTATTATAATAATAGCTTTTAAATTAACAATTTGGAAATCTTTGTAACAACAATATTACAAACCTCCAAAAACACTGAAAATTTATCCAAAACACATTATAATGCTAAGAGATGCAGGAAGCAATGACTTTTTTTTTATTTTCTTAATCAGAAAATTTCTCGTAAGCTTATGTAGATTCGTTTGTTCTGTTCGTTTGTTTTAAAACAGACCCACACTGGGCTGTCTGCTCTGTCCACCGCGGGAAATCGAACCCCGGGTTTGAGCGTTGTAAGTCCTTAGACTTACCGCTGTCCCACGAGGTGACTATGTAGATTCAACATATGTAAATTAGAATTATTTACTTTTTACCAAAATTAATGCACAAAAACAGTTTACTATTATATTTTTTACCAAAATTAATGTACCACAGTGATTACTATTACATTTTTTTTATCAAAATTAATGGACAACAACAGTATATTTTACTTTTTAATATTAGTAATGAAATGTATTAAATAGGAATGGAGGCTAGAATTGGGTAGAAGTCATTACCTGCGAATCTATTATTGTTTAGTACCACAACTCCAAGAATACAAGACAACCTTGATAACAAAACATATTTCAAGGTGACTCGAAATCCAACTGAATGATCAACTTTTCTCTTCGTGTAAATGATATGTTTGATCCTATTTGGAAATATAGAGTTCACAAGGGCAGTTAAGTTTATCTTCTCCTATAAAATGCAATCATACACTATTTTTTTTCTTATAGGTTTAATTAAAACACTTAAAAACGTTTATCAATACACAAGTTTTATCAAACATTCTAAATGACTATTAAGCTTCAAAAGAGCCAAGAACTTTTGACTAATATCTTTATTTGACGAGTTAAGTAACCAAAATGTTTCATAGATAAATATGTTTCTCAGACACCATAACGGGTCTTGTGATGGGCAGATAAACATACATCATTAGAACAAGAGGATCTAACCATGGAGAGCAGTCAGTTCTTTCATTTTCGAGTTGTAGGCCAGAAACAATATACATCTCTCATTGAACACAGTTGTAAAAGTACGTTGTATTGAAGTAATGGACAGTATTGTTTGGTTTACCTGATGCTTGCGTTTT